TCCTCCACGATGGCCTAGGACAGAGTCGGTGGGGGCCCTTAGGGTTGGGGTTCAACCCTTTTTTTTTTTTTAAATTGTGTTGAACTTTTACTTTTGGAGTGGATTAGAAGAAAGAAATGTGTGTATTTCCTCTAAATAGTATTAGTTTTCACATATTTGCAATCTTAATTTTATAATGAACATTATTGCGCAAATAATGACAAGATTGTGAATATTTATGATGTCTTAGGGTGTGTTTGATTGACATGGAAAATATTACATAGAAAAGAAAATATTTTCCATCTTTTGTGGAAAATAAAAATCACCTCTACCCAAGGAAAATATTTTCCTTAAAAACAAGGAAAATTAGGCATATTTTCAAAAGTTGGAAAATATTTTCCATGGAAAAAAAAAAGCAATCAAACACTCAAAGTGAAAATTTGGATGGAAAACTGATATTTTCCATGGAAAATAAATGTAATCAAACACACCCTTAGTAAAAAGTGTGAAATTTCTTTAAATCATAGAATCAAAGATGAAATCAAAGTGAATTTTGAGGTTGAAGGTGCAAATTGTTGTTTCTGATATTTGACATTTGTCTCGAGCTTAAATGGTTAAAACGACGTTTGATTAAAAACTCAAACGCTTAAAAGATTTGGACTTAAATGCCAATATGCACAAATGCTTGGTACCAAAATTGCAATTTTTTTAAAATTTAATTTTTATAGCTCCGTTTGGGCCCACCAGTAATGCGGTCCGATCTATAAATTAACCTTACAAAAGAGAGAATTCAAAGCACAAACGCGCGTGATTACGTGAAAATAAAGGTCCGAATAGAAGGATCTAGAAACCCTAAATAAACCATTATATAAGGCCTCCAACATTTTGTGGCATCCATCTCCTGCTTCCTCTGCTTCTGGATCTCTATAAACCCTAGTTCTTTTAATTTTCATTTTCCAATTTTAGAGTGGAAAGATCTGCAATGGCTGAGCAAGAGACGTTTGCTTTCCAGGCTGAGATTAACCAACTTTTGAGTCTGATCATCAACACTTTCTACAGCAACAAGGAGATCTTTCTCCGGGAGCTCATCAGCAACTCATCTGATGTAAAACCTCTATTTCTCTCTACTTTTGTCTTGTTTTATTCGGTAGATCAGTTTTCTTTTACTGTTTTCTGTTCCACGTTCTCAATTAAGGTTTCATTTTAGGTTTGAATGACGATTGCAGCTTTTAATCTTAATCGGGTCCTGGAGTTTGTTTGTTTTTTCTTTTTTGTATTTTTAGTTATTTTCAGAAATTGTTCTTCTCGTATTGGGCTTTTAGATTGAAAATGTTACCTGCATCATAATAGGCTACGCATGGCGCCCTCTGTATTCGTACTTTGAACTATTATTGCTTCATATTTGTGTTGTTAGTGTATAATTTGAGAATTTAGTTCATAACCCCAAAATAGCCTGAAGTATGTTTCAATTTTCTATTTTGGAGGACTTTTATAGTTAAGTACAGAAGTAGGTACTGGATAGAGTAACAGTTCGTTCTGCCGTGTGAATCCTCTGTTTGATTCGCCTCTACCGGCCATAACAATGCTTCAAATGGGTCAAAATCAACATGCATTAATTTCTTATGTTAATTGTTTATCATCTTATCACGAAGTGCTAAGTAGATAAGGGTTTGTAAAGCTATATTGTAGTGTAGTTATGACTAGTAGAATGAATCAGTAACAAGCAAAATCATTTAATTGTGTTTGCTTCCTCTACTTAATGTGATTTAACAGATTGATAAAAAGAGTCTATAATACGTATGTGTACTGTTGACATCCATGGAAAAGTTCTCTTCATATTCAACTAATGTGAATTTTTCATCAATATAAATATTTGATTATAATAGTTTTAGTTATCCTGCATTCCCTTCAAGTTTGTCACAACTGCTTTGGTTATTGAGTGTGAAATTCTAACTGTCTTTTTGATCTTTGAAATTTGCATATAGGCTCTTGACAAGATCCGTTTTGAAAGTTTGACTGACAAGAGCAAGCTTGATGCTCAACCGGAGTTTTTCATTCACATCATCCCTGACAAGACCAATAACACACTGTCTATCATTGACAGTGGTATTGGAATGACCAAGGCTGGTGAGGAGGGATTTATTCGAATGATGTTTCACATCATTTAATTGTTTTTATGTTACAGGGTATCTAAATGGTTTTGTTTGGAATTTTAGATTTGGTGAACAATCTTGGTACCATTGCAAGGTCTGGCACCAAGGAATTCATGGAAGCCCTAGCTGCTGGTGCTGATGTCAGTATGATTGGGCAGTTTGGTGTCGGGTTCTATTCATCTTACTTGGTTGCTGAGAAGGTAGTGGTCACCACAAAGCACAATGATGACGAGCAGTATGTGTGGGAGTCACAAGCTGGTGGTTCATTCACTATTACTAGAGACACTTCTGGTGAAAGCCTTGGACGGGGCACCAAGATGACTCTCTTCCTCAAAGAAGACCAGCTTGAATACCTTGAGGAGCGCAGGTTGAAGGATTTGATCAAGAAGCACTCTGAGTTCATTAGCTACCCAATCTCCCTTTGGGTTGAGAAGACCACTGAGAAGGAGATCTCTGATGATGAGGATGAGGAAGATAAGAAAGACGAGGAAGGAAAGGTTGAGGAAGTCGATGAAGAGAAGGAGAAGGCTGAAAAGAAAAAGAAGACAATCAAAGAAGTGTCTCATGAGTGGAATTTGGTGAACAAGCAGAAACCCATCTGGATGAGAAAACCTGAGGAAATTACGAAGGAGGAGTATGCAGCTTTCTACAAGAGCCTCACCAATGACTGGGAGGAGCACCTGGCTGTGAAACATTTTTCAGTTGAGGGCCAGCTTGAGTTCAAGGCAGTTCTCTTTGTTCCTAAGAGAGCTCCATTTGATCTCTTTGACACCAAGAAGAAGCCCAACAACATTAAACTCTATGTTCGACGTGTCTTTATCATGGATAACTGTGAGGAGTTGATTCCTGAGTATTTGAGCTTCGTGAAGGGTATTGTGGACTCTGAGGACTTGCCTCTCAACATTTCCCGTGAGATGTTACAACAGAACAAGATTTTGAAGGTCATCCGCAAGAACTTGGTCAAGAAATGCGTTGAGCTCTTCTTTGAGATTGCAGAGAACAAAGAAGATTACAACAAGTTCTACGAGGCTTTCTCGAAGAACCTCAAGCTCGGAATACATGAGGATTCCCAGAACAAGACTAAGATTGCTGAATTGCTTAGATATCACTCCACCAAGAGTGGCGATGAGATGACCAGCTTGAAGGATTATGTGACCAGGATGAAGGAAGGGCAGAATGACATCTACTACATCACAGGTGAGAGCAAAAAGGCTGTCGAGAATTCTCCCTTCCTTGAGAAGCTGAAGAAGAAGGGCTATGAAATCCTCTACATGGTTGATGCTATTGATGAGTATGCCGTTGGTCAGTTGAAGGAATTTGAGGGCAAGAAGCTTGTCTCTGCAACTAAGGAAGGGCTAAAGCTTGATGAGAGTGAGGATGAAAAGAAAAGGAAGGAAGAATTGAAACAGAAGTTTGAGGGTCTTTGCAAGGTGATTAAGGATGTTCTTGGGGACAAGGTTGAGAAGGTTATTGTCTCTGACCGTGTTGTTGACTCACCTTGCTGTTTGGTGACCGGAGAATATGGTTGGACAGCTAACATGGAGAGAATTATGAAGGCACAAGCTCTGAGGGACTCTAGCATGTCGGGATATATGTCGAGCAAAAAGACAATGGAAATCAATCCTGAGAACTCCATCATGGAAGAGCTTAGGAAGAGGGCTGATGCTGACAAGAACGACAAGTCTGTAAAGGACTTGGTTCTGTTGCTGTTTGAGACTGCTCTGCTTACTTCTGGATTCAGCCTTGAGGAGCCTAACACCTTTGGCAACAGGATTCACAGAATGCTTAAACTTGGTTTGAGCATTGATGAGGATGATGCTGGTGAGGCTGACGTTGACATGCCAGCATTGGAGGAAGCAGATGCTGATGCTGAGGGTTCGAAGATGGAAGAGGTCGATTAAGCTTCATTCCATTCTAGAGCTGTGTTTCTCGCTTAGTGACGTTAACATTTTGATTTTCTAGTATCTTAGATGGGACTATACTATATTATCTGTTTTTAAATGTCTTTCCTGTATGAGTTAATTGAATTGATGAATGGGACCTTGTTCTGTTTCGTAGTTAATATCCAACTAGCTTGCTTCTTGCTTATCTCATTCTGCTGGTTAGATTTTTCCCCTCTGCCCGCACAATGGTTCTGGGAGCTTGTCACGATGGTTCATTTCATAAACTGGGTTTGGGTGCGGAATTTTTTCATTTAATTATTTTAATTGAGAAAACGTCCTAAAATTGGTTAATAATTGGTCTGATCAACTAACTGTGAAATGGATAAAATTCGTTGTTTGTTTGCAATGAAATTAAAGGTTTGGGATTGGGTGACACAAATAATAAAATTGGGTGTCTTCAATAAATTGAAAGGTCTGGGACCACATTTGCAAGTTTTCCAGTTTTAAGTTGTGACCCCCTTTCCTGCCTTCAAAGCTAAAATTGGAGTATTTTGCAAAGTTTGAGCTGTTTAGTGAGGTTTTCGCCAAAATAAAGGATAGGAAGGTATTTCACAATAGACGGACAAGAAGTTTTTGCGCCAATTACTCAACAAAAAATTACAGTGTTAGAGTTGGGCATGGAAATTGGATAAAGCCAAAAGGGCCTCCTTCGGTCCTCTGGCCTCCGGCAATGACGAGGAATAATTTCAGCCAACCAACGACTGTTAAGTTTGAGCTTTCTATCAGCTTTAAGGGGGTGTTTGGAAGTGATTTTTCATCCTAAAAATTTGATTTTTTTATCGTTATTTCATTATTTCAGTCATAACTTTTAACTTCTTCTCTCACAGGTGATCCACTTTTCTCTTAACAATCATAAAATCAATTCTCAAAATCCCTACCAAACAGAGCCTAAGTATAAAAGCAAGTACTACAAAGCTCAGCAGAATGGGCAACTTCCACTGGAAAAAATACATAAAATAAGGAATGGCATATATTAATAACAATCCAAAAACCAGCAGAATTACTACAATGTAAATATAGTCGGCAGACAACACCATACGAGATAATCTGCATTCTTGAATGCGATAACAGTTGAAAAACCAAAGTAACCTTATATAAAACATCAACAACAACGAACTTAATCACAGCTGGGAACTAGGTATCCTCAACTCTTGAGTGAAAAACAAAGCTCGGGAATGTAGTGGTGATATCCCTGTTTCAAATAAAGAGCAGATAATGAATCTAAAATTTGTCAGAATATTTAGTATGCAACTCTCGAGACTATAACAGAAATGTCTGAATGCTGACTATAGTACATACTTGAGATATTGAAGGGTCATATTCTTCAAGAGCGATGGATGTCGCAAAACTAACATTCTCCATTCCTCTTTATCAATCTTCCCATCATGCTTTGTATCAGCTTCTTCAAAAGTCTGACATACAGAAGTAAACGTCATCAATTTCTCGCATATTCCTTGTCTTCATACAGGGAATGGGAAGGATATCAAACTGAAGCAAGCAACTCCATATCCCAGTTTTAATAAATGGAGTATAGATTGATCAAGAAACACTTTTGCTATATTGACATGGTATTCATTGATATGGTCTATTTCCATTTTCTACGCTTAGATGACTTATCATCTTTGAGATGTTATCAAAGTAGGGGATCAAACATTATTTGGGTGATCAAGTTTCCTAACTCATCTTTCTTGCTACAGAGGTCTAGGATGGGTTTGCTTGGATGACTTGCAATCTATTAGGACATTGATCTTCAAAAGAACTTTACAGTCCCTTCTCTAAACAGGGAAAAAAAAAACGTGAAAGTGAATAATAATAAAGAAAATTTAAAAACTTAGATTACAAAATTAGATTGATGAACCACCTTGTCAATTATGCTCTCGATAACGTCATCAGACAGGTTCATACCAGATTCAGCAAGAGTGGCAACTACCATTTGCTTCACCTGCACAGTTAGAAGCCCAATATTAAACATCTCAATAAGAAATGTAAGACTTGCAAAGAATACCAAGGTCAAATATTTAAAAAAGAAATATCAGCACTAATAGTCTCTAAATGGTATATACAATTAACTATGTGGACCAGGGATTCAGGGTTTATATAGTATAAATTAGACAGAAAATAATTATGGGCAACGTCAAACATAAACCAGTAGTTTGGTAAAAAGCATTATGTCCCCAAAAAAAGAGACAGAAGGCACAAAGAAGTAACTTTCTAAGCCCACCCAAACATGCTCGAAAATGAGATCCCTTAAAGAATCAAAATTGCACGGATCCATGTAAAAGAACAATGTCTGCCTCAAAGGATTAACAGATTTAACTATCTAGTACTGACATAATGTTCTGATGCAGGCATGAAATGGAGAACAACAGAACGCGGAAGCAAGTGAAGGAAAAAAGCTACAGAGGCAACGTTCTACTTTGAACAAGAAACGAAAAAGTTCGTATTCCTCTAGCTTATCTTATTCAATTTATTCATATACTTCGATTAAAACAAGATTTCCCATATTAAATGGAAATAAATCGTTTTTTCATGATTTTTTAGCTGTGGACCAGAAGAGTCATCATGAAAATTTTGAACTTAAATTGTTGAGATGGGAGATAAAGACCCAAGATCTCGTTTTTCCGACTCTGACTTCAAGGCTCAACAAAGCTAGGAATCTAAAAACTTAAATAAGAAACAACAATCATTACCTCTTGCCTCTCTATGAAACCTTGTTGCTTGAGATCATACAATTGAAAAGAAACTGCAATGGCAGAGGAAAAGTATAATGAAAAACGGAAGTCAGTGATTAAGGGGATTCAAATAAGAAACAGTTAGATTATCATTTAAAGCATTAAACATACACTCAATCTTATCATCAATAGGAGCATTTGGATGGAATACAGAAAGTGCACGAGCAAACTCCTCGAAACCAAGTATTCCATTGTGTTTTGTGTCAAACAAATCAAACACCTGCTTTGGTAGGATGAAAGCAGAAAAGCAGCTTTGTGAAGCCCAGCTAAAACATTAAAAATATTATGTAGTAGAACAACGAAAGACATACATATGTATATGTCCAAGTAAATATTTATTTCTGTATATACGGGTGCCAACACTAAATTCATTTTGTAAAGTATAGCAATCAGATTTTGTGATAGCAACACTTATTTCTTGGTGACACATTACAAAAACTATAAAAGCATTGTTTATTTGGTAATTTACCCGATCAGCAAACAAGCTCTCTTTTTTGTTTGTCTTGAATAATGCTAGTTGAAATTCTTCCTGCAACATGGTATTGAAAGACGTTATTTAACATCATAGCTGTTTTCCAAAGGCTAAAAACACACCAAAATGAAGAGAGAAAAGGGGAATCACAAAGGAAACTCATGCAAAAGTGATCACATCGGGATATTTATGGACCTTATTGATAAGCCCGTCATCGATCACAGCACTGCTAATCTTCTTAAATAGCTCATAAAGTGCTTCAATTTCACTTACGCTAACTGCATCCATGCAGAAATCATTACATGAAAACACAATTTATACTAATCACCATAGAAGATACATAGTAACACAAACACACCAAGAAATAGACGAGCAGGTTATGTAAGATCTGACTATAAACTCAGATTGCACAAACAATTGCATAGAAAGCATCAAAGAAATATTGGACATTAGCCGGCCTATTATGTGATATTGGAAATCTTTGTTGGTGGGCAGCCTACTAGGTTATATTGGAAATCTTGGATAGTAGTCTATTCTCGCAAGAAACTTAAATTAAGTAACAATTTTATGGAAGAGCACTAGCCACTAGGCTTTCACAAACAAGTAAATCTCAAATATATATATATATATATAATAAAATAATTATATATAATAAAAAATAAAAAAACCAAAACAAAACAGATTACAAAGACAGTAGTGGAGGCAATAGCATACACACGGTCTCTCGTGCAAGAATTTCAGGATCCTCAAAGCCGCCGGATTGGCTGCCAGGTTCACAACAATGGATCAGTGGAGCACATAAATGCTTGATTCCCTCTAAGAACTGCAACATGGTATCTCGTATACATCAAAACTCTCCATATCTGTTCAAGTAACATCTTCCTTAAGCAAATCTTTCGCTTAGAAAAGTGTAAACGCTGATAAGAAGAAATGAAAGTAACCTTTTGACCATTCTCCGCCTCGTGTACTCAAAACAACAAACACCCAGAAATTGGTGCAAGCTGGAATCGCAAAAATCCTATAGCTGAGAATCAATCAGTACATAAAACCATCATCGAAAATTTTAGATTTATAATTTTTGATAGATTAACCGGCCAAATTATTTTGATTAATTAAAATTAGAATGGTTAACCCACTGTTTCTTGATTGCCAGATTTAATATATAATACCAATTTATAACTCGAACAGATATAATTTCAGATTAATCCTAAATTTACTCTGCAAGTTCACTCCTATGCTATGAACAGATTAAACCATAACAATAAATCCAAAGCAACAAATCCCAAAAATTTAATGAACGCGTTAATTTATCAATTCACCAAAAAAAACAAAAAGCTTCAACTTCGATAATTTTTATGTCGATGATGATAAACAAACAGATCCAGCAAGCATAACGAAAAAGATTACATCTTGTAAAAGGAAAGTGTACAAAAAATAGGAAGAAAAAATCCTTGCAATTTCAATATGGTCTCAAGATCTAACCTGTTTGTAATCAAAATCTGAGAATTGAAGCGAGAAGAGTCGATATTTGCTGTTTCAGAAATTGGGCGAGCGAGCGCAATATAATGCAGTAGCCGAATATCTTTTTTTAATTTCTGACATTGTACTGAATAAAAAACCCATTCATTTGATTAGTTGGCACTTGGCCACATGATGAGATTGACATGTCATTTGGTCCACACATCATTATTTACGACTCTAACTATAATAGAGCCTGTTTGGGACTGATTTTAAAAATTGATTTTTTGATCGTTAGGAGAAAAGTGGGATTCACCTGTGAGAGAAGAAGTCAAATATGACGGCTAAAATAGTGAAATAACGATCAAAAAATCAATTTTTTTGGTAAAAAAATCGGGCCTAAACAGGCTCTATACTTCTCGAATTTTAATTTTATTCTTCCTATTTGAAAATAATTCAAAATAAAAGGAGATAAGTTCCAAAAATTTATTCACCATAGGGCTATTGGCAAAGATCGTTTAACAAAAATGCAGCAAAGGGAGACCATGTGGTGATCTAGCCGATGATGTCTAATTATATCATAGATTTAGAAAGTGTTTTGAAGCAGTGGTGAAATTACGGTTTTTACCTAGACAAAGTAGAAAGTCATTGAAAATTTTTTTATTGAATATTTACCAATCGAAGCGTTCAGGCTTAAGCTCTATGCAAATATTTTCTTACAAGATTTTTCACCTAGTTAATATGATTTGACTTTTTAAAGAAATCCCTCCCTTCTGTTAGATTGTCGTGTGATGATGATATATGATAATTGTTGTCAATTTTTATATTCCGTAAGTGTACGAATTGTAAAAAGTAATAAAGTGGATATAAGAGTCCTATATCATTCTCATGATAACTAATTGGTTCAATTATTCATAACTTTAATTTGATTGAAAACAAATAATAAGTTTCATGATTGATGTCTAAATTATCCTAACTAAACTAAATTATCTAACATACATGACTTATCAAAATTGAATTTTAAAAGTGTGAATATGGATGATAGGACTTACTATTTTACATATGAATCCCCTTTAATTTGCTATTCAAGATTCAGTTCAATTGTAGTGTTTGGTCGAATTTTCTAAAGTGTTTAATTTACTCCTCTTAAATTCTCATTGAGCATATTTAACTAATTTAATTTCATATCTCTATATGAATCAATTTTAATTAAACAAAATATTAGTTCTAAGAATTCATCTAATGATCGCAATAATTAGTATAGGTATCTTTATACGTTTATTAAATTATCGAATTTTATTATGTGGTCTAAATCTAAAATTCACCTCTTGATTCGTAATATATTCACAAAATCATTGAATAATTGGCCAGAGAATTCAAAGCATTAAGTACATAATTAAAATTAACACATATGCATTTAAAGAATTTGAATCTTGAACAAAAGAAATAAAGGGTCACATATATATATTATATTGTTCGTCCTAATTATGAATTTAGCTATTCACAATAATGAAAGAAAAAACAAAAAGTATGGAGTTCATAACCGAGTTTTGAAATCTTGATTATGAAAAGAATTGGATCTCCCACCAAAAATTTTCTTCAACCTCAAAAGCTTTTAAACCCTAGCTTTTACTCTTTGATCTCGATAATTATATGTTCTCCCTCCACGCCCCCCAAAATTGCGGAACCATTTCGAGAGTGTCAAAAACTTGTATTTATAGCTGCCCTCAATTTTATTTATTTATTTATTTATTTTTATGGGCTTTAAAAGGACCAAAATCGCACCCTAATCCATATTAGGTAGCGCCTAAGCACCACTTCTCGGGAGAATTTCAGCACTTCACCTTCTTTATAGATTTACTTTATTGTTCGTGACAAAATGGCACAAGAATGACACACATTTATTCTTAATATATAATTAAATACATATATGGAGACATAAGATATCTAAAGTTCTCTTTGAAACTCAAAGGACAACCATAGATTCTTTTCCCTGGAGTTTACGTTTGTCCAAATAATCGTGGACAACAAACAAGATCTAACTTATTATTATTATTATTATTATTATTATTATTATTAATGTCTAATATCATACACTCAAGCAATGTCTGCACATGCCATCTTACAAACGAGAAATGTCACATCAAGTAATTAGTTGGAGCCATCGACTCCACTGTTCTGACTAGCACCGGAATTTCGGTGATGGCGGCATCGGAAAGATCCACGGTGGGTGGTCGGCGAGCAAAGGCAGTGATTCTGTGCTGGTGATGGCTTTGTTGAGCCCCCTTTCCATGATGATGGCACATTATTCACCCCAAAGGACTGCTTCCTTATTTCAGCTACATCTAGCTTTGCTCCAAAAAACTTCTGGGGCTGGTGATTTCCATCCATCTCTTCTACCTGGTAAAATTTGGAATCAGTAATTCATTTTAGATTGAAAAAATCAACCAAAAAGAAAAAAAAAATCCGGATTTTTTAATGCAGAAATATCAATTTGTTGATGTTATATAATTAAGCCTTGATCTGTACTTCCGTGTGTTTGAGAATTAGAAATCCTAATTTTTATATTATCAATAGTAATTAAATCGTTGTAAAAAAATAAAATATGCAAGATTTATAGATGTCCATCTTAATGTGAGGCTACATTCTCTCCCACCTTTACAGTAATTTATTATGATGAAAAAATTTACAAGAAAAAATTGCACACTCTATATTCTCTAACATTTTTCTCTTTTTAATGATAACACAAAACCTAATGACCTTATTTATAAATTAAATTGAGACAAAATTGAAATTATAAGTTTAAAATTCATAAACTATCTTTAATAATATTTTGGCACCACGGAGGTCAATTAGTTTACTAACTTCGTAAAACAGCAATAATTAAACTTCACAACTTATCATCGTAATCAATGTAATAGGTCAAAATCGAAAACAAGAAAAATGTTTTCATATAATTGTGCAGTAGATTCTCACCTTGTTTAATCTGAGGAGATGGTTACGGCGAGGAAAAGAGGGTTTTTCTGCAGAAATTCTTGCAGAAAATTGGTTCTGTCCTTGTGGGAGGAAGAAACTCAATATTTCATCCCACGCCACTGGGGAAAACACCAAGAACAAACGAATACAACCCAAATTTCTCAGTTTTATGGCAAAGCATTTTCTGGTTTACAATTTCAAAGTTAGTGGTGATCACAAAACATAATTAATTTAGAATTTATACCCACCATTTGTTTTTTTACGAAGAATAGGAAATATGGATTGTGGCTATTATTTGTTTCTTTTACAAACTACGTAAAGAAATGAATACCATGTATGGTAGGTCGAAACATAAGGTTTACCACGAGCGTTATGCACTTTCACAAATAAGCGTATGTTTGAGCTCCATTATTTGAGATAAAAAAATAATAATAAAAATAAAAATAAATTAAGACTGTGCAAGAAAAATGCAAGAAAAAGTTGACTATAAGTAAGTTTGAGAAAAAATGAATTTTAAATAACGGAACTCAATATGACTTAATTAAGGGCTTCAAAAATGAAGGAAATGCTGATTGTATTTGTGTTTTTTCTAGATGTTTAAAAAATTACGTATCATCAAACTTATATAATGATCGTGCTACATGTTTTTTTCCCCATATTCACTCAATATAATGGTGTCAAATGGGCAGGATTAACATGGTTAGCATAGAATCGATCAAATAAAAGTGACCAAATAGCTGAAAAATCCAGCTCGACCCGATTTAAATGATAGGGCCTGAGGTTAATCAGCAAGCCTTTGTTAATATTAATAAAAATTGAATATGAATTTTTAAAAGACTGGCAGCCGATGGATCGCCTTCTTTAAAGAAGGCTGATGGATCGAGCCGTAAGCCTATTTCGAGCTTATGCATATTTTCATAGGGGAAGACTACATAACTACAACATTATAAAAACATATTTCATAAATAACAAACTCATTGAAATATTTCAAAAATCAGATGGTAAATATATTTATTAAATATTAAACTATAATATAATATACATTAATTATTTCCACTTCATGCCATCTCACTCACCCCATCCTATCAGCCCACTACACCACCTTCCCTTCACCTCTCCACTGGAGATAGCCATCAGCTCCGGCATTCACTCTGGAGACAACTCAAGCAACAGCTCCGGCGACTGGTCCGGCAACCATTCCGAAAAACTGCTTGGGTGAACACTCGGTGATTGCTCCGGCAAACTGCTCCGACGACTATTCCACCAATTTTTGCAGCTCCGATAATAGAAAAATCTCCAAAAATTGTGATGTGCGTTGTAGTTATCAGATTTGCAACCGTGTTATCTGTGACCATACATGTGTTATATGTGACCAATTCACTGCCTTATGTTATTTGAGAGTCATCGTGACCAACTTTGCCTTAGGTGTGACTAATTGTGACCAATTTTGTATTCAATGTGACTCTCTGTGATCAGATCAATATCAAGTCACAACCGGTCACAATCAATACAAAATTGATCACAAATATCACAACTAGATCTCGAACAAAAAAACCAGATTTCCAACCACCATAGCAAATCTGTTCGAAAAAATAATAATCACAAGTACTACTAACATCCTTAACTTAAGTTGATGACCATAAATACTACATTCACCTCAAATCCACAACAATCATCACTACCATAACTTCCACCAACCCTTCAAAAAATACCAACCAGCACTACCACACTTCTCTCATGAAAACTCCGGTGAGAGAAATGGTAGGTTGTCAGAATCTAGAGGGTGGGTGGGAAAGAAGTCGTAGATCTGATTTTTGGGTAAGAGAGTGCCGAACTGATTTTTAGGGAAAGAAATAGAGTGTGTGGGTTAAAAGTTGATACAAGATCTGGGATAAATTGATACGAGGTCTGTGATCAAGTTTGTATTCAATGTGACTGTCTGTGACCAGATCAATCTTAAGTCACAACCGGTCACAATCAACACAAAATAGGTCACAAACAGTCACAACCAGATCTCGAACGTAAAAAACTAGATCTCCAACCACCGCAACAGATCTATTCGAAAAAATAATAACCACCACCACTACTAACATCTTTAACTCAAATCCACAACAACAATCATCACTACCATAACTTCCACCAACACCTTCAAAAAACACTAACCAATTGATACTGAATATTTCTCAATAAAGATTTCCAAGACTGTTCTTCACTGCGCCGAAAAAGGAGATGAATGGATGGGTGGTGGTAGAGAGAGAGATCAGGGGAAGAAAGAGATGGGAAAATGAAAATATCTTGGGCTTGGATTTGGGAATGAATTGAGGATGGAATAGACTTTACTGTGCCCAAAAGGGAGATGGTTGGGTGGGTGGTTGGAGAGAGAGAGAGAGAGAGAGAGAAGTGGGAAAATGAAAATACCTGGGACTCGGATTTGGGAGGGAAATAGGTGGAATGGACGGTGGTACGTCAGTTTAATTAAATTTTCATTAATTATAATTATTAAATCTAATTAACACCTGATTTGTGAAATAGAAATTAATCATTCTTATTTTTGAAAGTTAGTCTTTAAATGTAGGTTTCTGGGTAATTTTCCCTTTTCATATTCACGGGTTGATTCTTTAAGAGGATCGACTTGTGCCAGTTCTTTATATGTATTAGAACATCCGCTTTTAAACATCTAAATATATACTTGTTGATAATTAGTACTCTTATTTCATATTAATGTCAATAACAAACAAAAGATTATAACGAGCAAAGCTGATTATAAAAGAGTTGAAACTGAATGAGAAAGGAGCAATGACAACATATTTATGTGGCTGATTCTAATCTATTTTTATTGTTGTCTTTATTATGAATGACGTTCTAAAATACATACATATATGTCGCATAAATCCGTATATGCTCTATGCTTTTTCGAAACGTGTTGTATATGGGATATACCCGTGATAATGCAGTCTATCGATTTTATTGGCTGTATATTTACACTTAAACGTCAAAATGCACACGCATTTATTTTAAAAATTGTGTCAAAAATTAATCTAACGAAGTCTAACCCCTTTTATAACTTCAAAAAGGAGCAACTTAAAAAAATACCCTTAAAATTAGAGGTATTTTAAAAAATTATACGAAAATTTTTTTGAAAGTAAAAAATATTGTGTAAAATTAAAAAGTGACACAATGTCACTTTTAAAAATTTAGAGAGTTGTGATTGGAGTATATAATTTGGGTATATAGGGATGTACATCAAGACTTAGCTCCTGTTTGTTTTCCATTATTTACTCATTAAAATTAAAAATATGACACATCAAGCCATCATATTTGAAAATCTATCTCTTGTGTTTAGTCCATAACGACTATATTATTTATTCTCATTTTTATATTAATGTGGCTCAAATAGGACCTTATCCAAGTTAATATCACTTTTTTATTAAAAAAAAAATACATATAATGTTAGTTTTATCAAAAAGTTATATTTGTCATTAAAAAAAAGTGATAGAAATTTCAAAATGATGATTGAAAAGAAGTGACAAATAGTAAAAATAATTGACAAAAATATGAAAAAGCGACGGAAATTTGAAATAAATAAAAAAGTGAGAAATTTAAAAAAAAATTATATAGATTCAAAAAAAGTGACAACAATTTCAATAAAGTGGCTAAAAATTTAAAAAAATATATGAAATAAAAAATATTATATAAAATTAAGTGACAGAATGTCATCTTTTTATATAAAAAGAAGTGACGCAACGTCACTTTACTAAATTAAGTGTTACTTTTTTTTTTTTTTTTTTTTTTTTTTTTTTTTTAAAAAAAAAAAAAAAAAAAAAAAAAGAGAGAGAGCGACACGATCATTATCTCTCCTCTTTCTCCGTTCAGTGCCAAGCATCTCTAAGTCAATTCACCGTCAAAATACCAATAAAAATGCTAAATATCTTTAAGTCAATTCACTACCATTGTTTTCTATCCAAATTCCATTGACTTTCACAAGAATAATTATTATCACAACAATGACAAGCACATAATAACATAATAACATGAATAAACAAAAGAAATCTGGACAGGATTTTAAATTGGGAGAGAGTAGCCTAGAATATCACTAATCATTTTTTTTAAATTCTTCTTGTGCACCAAATATTCAATTTATCCCTAGTAAAAACCCTTAACACCAAATCATCTTCTTTTGCACCTCAATTGGCCATATCCTCCACCCACCGTAGAAATGCAGAAATGATGAAGAAGGGTTGGGTGGCTGAGAAAAAAATACATCACAGTAATTTGAGAACAAGAACTAAAAGCAGGCTATTCGGTGAGGGTTTTTCATATCCTCCCAATTTGGTCATTCTTGAAGAAATTCCTCAAGAAAAACCTGGAATTTTTTCTCCTAATATAACTATTGAACAGTCTTTTACCGTGTCACACACTTTTTTGATTCTCACAAACAATATGAAAGTGTTGACACATAAAAATTTAGCCCAAATCGAACGGTCCAAGAAATGAAGCCCAATTGGAGGGTCCCCAAATCAGATAGCCCAAAGAACGAAGCCCAATCACAGATAGCCCAAAGAACGAAGCCCAATCAAACAATTTAAGACGATGGCCCAAATAGGGAGGCCCAAGAACGCGGTAACGCCATCACCCAAGTTTGCAAGTCGCCCAAAATCTGAGCGAATGGAGTGCCATGTAATCGCCCAGAGCTGTTACTCTATTCTCACCCAAACCTTCAAGTCGCCCAAGGTCTTAGCAAACATAAAGTGTTGTGATTATCAAGAAGTGTAGTTACCAAAGCAGTTATTAAAGCAGCCCCATCATAATTCAAGAAATTCAGTCGAAAACAGTTGAACGATGAAGAGTAATGGTAGCAGTTAAAAAAGGCAGTTTCATGACAAGTTGGCCATTACGAGAAAAGTGGGCAGTTGTAGAATGATCAAGCAGTTTTTAGGCGGTTGATCACAAAGAGATCATCCATGACGTATAAAAGGGAGAAAAGACACAGAGCAAAGGACCGAATTAAAAAACTCTCGAACAGAGAACATGTAATTTTAAATTCTTTAACTTAGACTTAAACACTTTTTTCAGTAACTCGTGTGCTTGCGCCTCTTGGAGGCATTTTGTTTTTAATTTCCAATTGTAAAGTCATCGCCAATAAAAGAACACCAATTTTTGAGATTTTGTCTCAAGAGGTTTGTCCCTTACACAATCATCTGATCCCTTTTAATTGTTAGCGACTAACCCGCGCGAAACAATTTGGCACGCCCAGTGGGATAGTGGTGTTTGGTGTTGAAAATACAAAAGGTGAAACAATATGCCTCAGAGATCTGATAAGGAAGCAGCAAGTCAGGGAGGAATCCAGTCTGTGATCGAGCAATATGAGGAGCAGCATGCCTCTCCACGAACAGATGGACAGAATCAGAGCAGTAACAGTCGTTACGAACCAATGACGGAGTTGAGTCCTCGAACTATGCGTGCATTACTTGGAGAACTCACACAAGACGTCGTTGAACAGGTAAATTTTTGAAATATTCATAATATGGAAAGATTTACCCAAAATGGGAATGCACACTATGACAACATGGCCAAACAACTAAACACTTTGAATGAAACAATGAATAAGTTAGTAGGCCAAATATGTCAACCGGTTATACCTCTTGCAAATCACTTTCAAATTAGGACAATTATGGGACATAATCCCTCAGTCCTAAATCCGAACCAAAGGGTAGAACCACTTTCTGGTCCCTCTACTTCAAACCAAGGGGGTACTGCAGTGCTAAATCAGAACAATAGTAGTGGTATGCCTAACTTGGGGGGTAATCCAAATATAAGAGATAATATCCTAAACAATGGACAGAATACCCCACGTGTTAATGAGGGAATAGATGTTCAGGCTAATGGCAATGGCCCTAATCATGGTAACTTTGTTGCCAATCAAGGACCAAACATCAGGTCTCATGCAAATCAACCGGTTAACCAACCTGTAGGAATTCCATATGACCCCAACGTCATGTTGAGGAATCAGATTATAAAAATCGTACAGGATCAGATGGCTTTTTGGGTGCGTCCCGTCATTAGGCCGACTTACACAAAGCCATATCCTGATTGGGTAGACCAAGCATATCCATGGCCTAGAGGGTATAAAGTGC